CATCTCTGGTGCATTCCTTGATCTTCCTAATGCTGTTTTTTTCTAAATGCTGAGCTTTGATTACGCCGAGGTGGACTCTACTTACAAATAAAGGACTTCTGAAGGCAATTGGTTTCATTATAGTTTATTTAGGGGCATGCCAGATTTTTCACATTTTCCTTTTCATCATTATGCTCCACTTCTCTTGATCTGTCACATATGCTACAAATAAAATACATTAAAGTTCATTGTTACATGATGATGCAGACAAGCTCAAAGGGTAAAAATACTTTTGCATGTCAGTGCCTCTGAGACATTTATAAAGTTTTATTTCTTCTGAAGGACAAACTAGGCAGCTGGAGTACTTCCAGTGTAACTGGCCATGATGATGTTGATTAACTCTTGAAACTGAACTAATGTTGAGATACGTTCAAGGATTTTGCTTACATATGTGACATTGATTGGCGGGTTATTTGTTAAGTTTTAAGTCCTTAAGGAAAGACTCCACTTCCTCGATTGTCCTCAGAAGATCAGAGCTGTTAGTGACTCCATAGTTGATTTGGCATGGGATTTTTTTATTTTCTTTATTTTGGTGCAGTGCGTGTGCATTCCAGCTTATAGCAATTCACTGGTGCGCGTAATTCAAACGCAAAAGCCAACAATTTTATGCTGAAAATGCTTTTCTTAGTTTTATTGCCTGTTTTTTGATGTGTTTGACAAGCGTTTAAAAGGCAGGCGTATTAAAATCCGACTGTTTGAGCTCTGCAGGCCTCAAGTATTCAGTTTCTCATTATATCCGTTCATTTCTCATAGGAGAGCTCTGCTTTCGCTTTTTTCCAACATTTTTTTTTTTTCTGACCGACTTGGACATTGCTCTCAGCACACAGGATTTTCATTTAAGGGAGAAATGTGCATCTGAAAATAAGCAGAGAATTTGTCAAACAATCTTTCAACTAAGCTTTACGCAGAGAGTTGAAGCACTGTTATTTCACTTTCTGTGTTTTGTAGTTAAGGAATATTGCTGACAATATAAAGCAGTCTGATAAATACCTTCTTTTTTTTCCCCGTGCATGTATAAATGTTACCAAAGCATAAAGATGGGTCAGACTTATAAATTAGAACTTAACCAGACTAGATCAGACGCTGGTGGTTCATCTGTGGACACGGATGCAGGAGTTTCTTTGGTAAGAAATGCTGAGTCAGTAGACCACTGTGGGGCCTTCTTGTCTCGCATTAATTGGTCTTTGAGGGGGAAGATCTGGCTTAACTGCAGTCCAAGAGTGTGTGTTCACTTTCTAGGTGCACATTTTGTGTTTCATAAACAGTAATGCTCTCTTAGATAAAGCCAGAGAGTTTAGATTGGGCAGACATGCACATGTCCAGTCGGCGCTATAAACTTTACTAAAGATGCAACCCAGAAAGAAGTGAAGGAACCTAACAGAAAACAAAGCATGTTGGCCCAGTTTCTGTCTGTAGCAGTTGACTGACAAAGTAATTGACTATTTGAGGTAATTATTATTTTTTAAATGTAATCAAAACCTGGAATCAAGTGGTTATAAGGGTATCTCACCATTATAAGCTTGTCACATAGCCTTCTCTGAATAGAGATGGGGAACATAAGTATTATATATTTTTTTAAAAGTGTAATCAGATAATTGAACAAATAAATGTAAGTGGACCACTCAAGCCTTTAACTGGCAGAGATTTCTTTTGTCTCTCTCTTAGCAATATATCACGTAGATTTTATGACATTTATAGCAAACTAAAAAAAAAAAAAAAAAAGTTGGTCCGTCACGTGTTTATAAAATGTGTCAACATTTGAATTTTTGGTAATGACAGCCAATCAGAGGTAAGCTGGCTTTGTTTTTTTTTTTTTTTTTTCATCACTGGCAAAATGATTGGTTCATTCCTGATAGACTTGGGCTGATATAAGGTTCTTGCTGAATGATAACCTTAAGTAAATATATCGGGTTTCACAGTAAAATATTATTATCGGAAACATTTAAAAGTAAGCTTATAAAATGACGTTACCATTATGACAGAACATGGTTGAGCGAATTGACAGTCACTTCATTTAAAAATCACATTGAGCTAGTTCATGTACTCGTAGTATTATGCAGAAATGCTTACTACTCATCTTCTTCATCTACAGTGATTTGTGAATTATTGTTTTAGGTGATTCTGCGGACTCTTTCAGACAAGATTATATGACAAAGATTGTAACAAAGGCAATGTAATTTGTCATTGTCTTGGTTGATGCCTATATTGAGTGTAAATCATTGAGGAATGACATATTTCAGATGGTTATTAAAATGTTATTAGGAATTGTGTCTCAGAGGTTTCATTTGTTTAGATTGCTTATATAGCATCATGCCTATCCTATCTCTTATCATTCTGAAAAGTTGCATAGTGAGTTGTGCGAATATGAATCTGGAGGCCTCCCTGTACAACAGTGTTGAATTTTCATATTTATTTTCATTGGAGGTGTGCCTTAAAATCCCACTTATATTCTATGCATGTTTGGTTAATTTGATAATGAGAATGTCGGCCTGTGCAGCCTCAGGTCTTTGTTAAGCTTAGGTATCCCGTTGCAGAGAGAACGCAGGCATTTAAGACAAAATGGCTCTGGTTACCCGTTTACCTCGGCCGCATCACAGTGTATTACGTTCCTGTTTGCTGTCTCATCTCGCCGGGGAAGGCCTATGTTGACAGATGCTGCTCCTGTACTGCCTCTGCCTTTTGCAGGATGCTATATTTGAAAAATAGCGAGTATAGGTAGGCTTTCTCTGACACATAATCCCATTTTGTAAATAATACCAGAGCAGTTTAATGCTGATCAGTCGGGGGCACAAAATCTGTTTTCGTCTGTCTTCCAACGCTGCCTGTTTGTGACACAGCATTAGTATGAGCTTCTTTCTTTGTTGCCAAGCCTTTTCTTTGACTGTCAAACCCACTCCTGGTCCAGGCTGCCGTTGGCTCTGAGCCAACCTGAACAACCACACAACCATAGAAGCCCATTTGTCAGTAGTGTGAAGGAGGGGGGTTGTTGTGCAGTCATACCTGCTGTGCTCTTGTCTGTGTTGGTGTCTAGCTGATTTGTTTGTGGTTTCTTTAGATATTTGGGAGGTTAAAAGCACAATATATCATCCAAAGAAACAACAGAGTGGACCTGAACAGCAAAATTCAAAGCCAACTATGGAGATCCGCTGCATTTAGATGCCAGTTTAGACAATAATCAATTAGACAATTCTGACTAATTTCCAATTTAGGCTTTTGTAAACTTTTTTTCATAAGTAAAAAAAAAAAAAAAAATCAACAATTTTTCTGAACTCAATCTCCCAAGTACTAGTTTACTCTGAGTGTCAGTCGGCTTGTTTGCTTATAGAAAAAAGTCGAAATGGAAAAGTAATGAAAAAACAGGTTTATGTTGGTAAAGAGGAACTACATTGAAAGAAGAAAAAAAGAAATATTCTCTGATTGTCTTGTAATTGGTCAAGCTAGAAATCGATTGATTTGGATTACCAATCAACTTCTTGATGCATCGTGAGCCGAAATAGAAGCATTTCAAACAATTAATAGCCTACCCTAGTAGCACAGAAAGACGAGAGATGTTGGAAAGTCATAAGTAATTGTCTTGTAAGTAAGGTGTCAAACATTAAAAAAAATAAATAAATAAGAGTGCCAACTTTATCCTTCAGCAGATTTTTCAGACTTCTGTTTATCCCACACAGCAGAGGAACCTCCTAAAATGGGAAGATTATCTCTTTTAAAGCAAAAATAACCTTCTAATGATAACCAAATTGAATCGAGGTTCTTTGTTGCTGTCTTTGTTTTGAATTCATTCAGCTATTGTAAGCAGCTGACAGGATGGTGATTGGTTCTTGGCACATTTCCATTTACACAGGGGGGGGAGGAGATGACCTCCAAGTTGCTCCCGTCTTTTTTTTCTGTTTTGGAAAGGAATTTTTCCCAGTTTGGTGTGTTGGTATGACCAAAATACAAATGTCGGGAGAAAAGATTTATGTCGCAGCTTTTAGAATATAAGCTGATTTAGAGATAAAATCAAACCATTTCCTGCATGCATATATATATATCTTTCAAGCCAGGAGTCTGCTGATTTCTGAGCTAAAGTTAAATCCTAAGTTCTCAGTATCAGTTTGACTAGCTAGATTTTTCCATGTATTTTTCCATGTTTTTGAGTTTGTAAGGCCCATTTTCCATTATTGTACAAGAACTTCAGGAGCTGTAGTGCATCATCAGAAGACACGAGAACGACACTAAACACATTTTGTTTTAGCCTTCTTCATGTTCTTACTAATCGTTAATATTAGGGGCCTAGGTGTCACATATGCTGGCTGTAAGTTTTGAATCCCTTGTAGCACGAATGAAAAGCAGGCATTTTCCACACAGCATATAGCGTAGCAAGTTTCTTTTTGATTAGGCTCTTAACCATCTCACAGTCCGAAGAGATGGGATTCATTGGAACTCTCAAGCTTTTTGTGTAGTGCTGGTGGGTCGCACTGACCCCGTGTGTGCTTTTACAAGGATTGTTTTTGTGTGGTTTGGGGAACCGACAGGCTAATGGGACACTTCCATCATTTTCCCCGTTGTCCGATCGCGAAATCTGCCATGGCCCTCCAAAGTGTCACTGCGGGAGAGTTAAATCTCTGCTCTTCCACTGATTTCATTGGGAAGATGCTGAAAATAGCCAGCTTAGAACGTTTTTCTATCAGCATCCACACTAAACGTTTTTTTTTTTGTTGGCCAGGTTGGTGTGACCAGGCAGTCTACCTATCTAGACGGCTGGTCTGGATAGGTAGACCATCCCTATCAGTACTGAAACTCAATTTAGCGCTCTCTGGATGGGTAGAGGTCTGGATGAATATTTGACTGGCTGATCACCTTTGAATGCTTATCAAACTGAAAATTGTCCAATTTTACACACAATCTTTTTTTTTTTCTGCATCTCTAGTTAGATACCCTGAACACAAATTGTTGAGCACTTTCTTTTTTCTTTGCAGGAGGGGCAAGAAACACAGCATCATTCTTCGTTCGCAGCTTTCAGTCAGAGTTCACGCCTGCATTGGTAAGTAATAAACTCCACCCTAATCTGTTCATATCACACATGGAAATAATATGAGCTCTAATTACCTGTATTAGCGGCACATTGCTTCCTTTGCATCCTTTTTTGAATTTAAACAGTGGCAGTTGTGGGATGGGGCCCGGGGCCTTAATTTGTGTGACAATTAACAGCACTTCCACAACACACTAAAAAACAGAGCAATGGCATGAGCCAGCGAGAGTTTCTGTGTTTTTTGAGTAATGTGAGGGAACCGGCACAAAGAGTTGAGTGGAAACACATGCGAGCACGCGCACGCGGCGGCATGTGTGCAGACACACGTGCGTCCAATCTGATTCAGATGTTGGCTTTCAGATTTCGCTTTAACTACACTGACGTGCTTGTTCCGCTTCTTTCTGGAAATACAGCGCTGATAAGTGGGTGCTGTTTGTTTTGCTACCTTATTTAATGTTATTTTGTCATATAAAATGACTAAACAGGCTTTTAAAAAGTAATTAACTCGCAGAGTTCGTTACTGATACATGATGTCTGCAGCAGCGGCACAGCAAGGAGGAGAATATTTTTCTCTTAAACACACACCCCTCCTGCTGGCTTGAAGTGCAAAAATAACTCAAAATCTGCAAAGGTTATTAAGCTGCAGACTGTCAAATTTCACTTGAGGTAAAATCCACCTAGACATGGTTTATTTAAATGAGGTCAACATGATCCGAGTCAGATGTTTGACTGGAGCTGAGGATGCGCCGGTGTTGCGTCCTTCCCTAAAATATGACAGCTGATCAAAGAATTAGTGACATGCACAAGGATTAAGAGAGAGATTAAGGTTGTGTCTGTGGATAACTTCAGGGTTTCTTTTCTTCTGAGAGTTTAGACGTGAATTACCCAAGTGATACTGCGGAGCTATTTTATATTCAAAGCTTTTTTCTTTTTAAACAACGCTGTAACTGATAATCTCGTTGGCGGATTCTCGTTGATTTCACAACAGGTCACAAGTTTGATATGGCTGCGGTCGTGAATATTTGTTTGAAACCCCCTCTAGTGTGGATTCTTCTGTCCCCTGCTGGTGCGTGGCTGAGCTTAGTGGAGCCTGGAGAGAGATAGACAGACTCTAAGTGGATGATGGCCCTTTTTCTCTCTAAGTTGACAGCCACCTGTTGCCCCTCGCTCTGGTCCCCTTTGGTGGCTCTCTGTGTGGCTAGCTGATTTATTTTGTTACTGTAACTCGTCCAGACATTTGAGCCTAATTTTATCAGACTAGCAAAGTGACCTTTTGGCCCACTGAGCACATTATGCAGTGATTTTCCTGGTCCACAAAAGATATAATGTGTTAGTCTTTCGAAGTTAAATGGCACGGCGTATTTAGGGTCGGATGCTTGTCATACATTTACAGATCGAGTACCAATACTTATTTTCTGTTCTTTTTAATTTTTTTTTTTCTGTTTGTTCATCTCAAACTGTGTAGAAGTGGAAACAATATTAGATTTCTAACAGCGATGGTGAAATGAAAAGATTTATTGTAACTGAATTTTTTTAATTTCATTTTAAATGTGCTCCCTCTGATGACTTTGCATTAGCACACCCACGATGTTGAGATGTTTATCCCAGAGGCTCCCTCCTTTGGTATGAGTAATGACTTGGTTTCAGCCATGTTTACTCTATTCTGTGTCATTTACTGCTATTTTGTGGAACAGCCATTGTATAGAGTTTAAACTTCAATTAAGTGGTACATCTTTAAGAGAGTGTTTTCTTCTGGGTTTTTTTTTTTTTAAGATTTACACAAAACAGAACCAAACTCCTGTTTGCCTTCTTGCATTATAGCGTGCACAAACCACAGCAGGGCCTAATCCGGGTTTCCTTAATCACAGTCATTAGCACTTACATGCATATGTCTGTTCAGGGGTAATAAAGAAGTGGAACAAAATGTCTCACCCACAGAGCTAATGGTTTATGAAACTGTAGCCGTCTGCCTTAGGTATTTGTTCATAAGAATGAAGATGACTCTTCGTATACTCAAAACACCTTTTATATGTAAAAAGAAGGTTTACCCATGGATGTTTTGGGAGCATAGAGAGGTATTATCTAAACCTTCTTTAATAACCAGCAACTTTAGGAGAAAACAAAGCACTAGTGCACATTAACAGTCATAAACCAGAATTATTTTCCATGTGGTTGCTCAGTGCAAAAATTTTCCAAAATGCATTCAAACTGAAATGATGTGATGCATACTTAGTATGAGAAATTGTTGCATAGTTAGCGATTCAATACACTCAGCTGCCCACTATTAGTAAATGCTCATTCTGCAAGAGGAATTGCTGCAAAGCCTTGAAAGAGTCGTCTTAGTTTCCTTAGATAGGAATTGTCTTTACAATTCCTACTGTCTTTACAATTCCTATCTAAGGAATTCCTTAGATAGGGAATTGGCAGACAGTCATACACTCTGCCATGACACAACCTTTGTTGTGAATTTCGTAAAAGCAACACAAAAGATGCACGTCTTGTACACCGAACCGGGAGTGGTGTCCCCCAAGTGGTCTGCGTTGTTGTATGAAAGGTGTGTACGAATAACATGAACGGTTCGCAGCCACATGATGTGTGAGTCGACTGTTGGATAAAGCATGCCGGGGGCTTTTAGTCCTGAGAATAAGACGTGTCTTCAGTACCACAGCACTACCCTCCGGTTGAGACTTTGTTTTGTTTTGCTCACCAAAATCACCACTGTTTTAAAATGTGACCAAATGAGCGCCATGGTTCTTTAATAAAAACAAGGAAAATTACCTTTAGCCGATGTGGTTTTCCTCATTAGGTAAGCAGCACTGGTGATGATTTGGTCTTTGTTTATAGTTTCATGGCCAGCCCGGCAGCTGACGGTTTGGAGAAATCAACTCATCTTGTCCCGTTCTGCGTGTTAGCCTCGGCCACAGCCTGTTTATATTGTCAGGCTGCAATTATTGTCAGTGCGCTAGATGTGGTACGAAGAGCCTGATTAAAGCAGCCTATGCTTATTTTTGCATTGTCCGTAAATACAATATGGCCTCATCTCGACTGTAATGTTGTCTCTGAGGCTGAATAAAAGGGGAAAGGGAGGGTCACTTATGGCGGCAGACTATTGTTTAGTTCTCATAATGTCTAAATTTGAACACCAAGTGATAAATTAATCATGTTTTCAGTGATCACAATCACACAAACCAATTTCTGATGTGGGAAATGGATCAATTTCACACAGAAATATCCTTTAAGCCCCCCAAAAAACGTGCTTTCACTGTCATCTTTGTGTTACGTGTTTTACAAGAAGCTGCTGTAAATCAGTCAGACATCACAGTTTACCCAGCTGTTGCAACCCTTGTTCTTTTCTAAACATGTGATTTTTATTCTTTAAAGTAATAAATCTTAACCAAAAATATATAAATAAAAGCTAAAATTTGACGGTATTCACCTGCTAGAACAGGTTCATCTGGCACAGTGCTGATCCTCTCTGAAGGGTGGCAGCTGAGATCAGAGGTGACACATTCTTGGTGGATTATCTGGCTTGTATTTTACAACCTCTTATAAAGTTGGCTGAGGGCATGATTCATTGTGACCACTGAAGACTTGTGTATTTGTTTTACGCTATAATTTTCCTAAATTGGTAGTTTTGATGACCAGTTTGACAAATGAAATGTTTGTGGTTGTTAAAAAGGATGTTTTTATTCAGTGGAGGGGAAAAAAAAAAAGGTTGCTGTCAGCTAAAAACTTACACCTGCAGTTGACAGAACACTGGCTTTTGACTGTTTAATCTTTGTCTAATTAAGGTTTTATGAACAGTTTGGGATGCCGTCACATTGTTTTGAGACCATGATCATTTCCCGTTATAGCTGGTTTTCTTACAGTGTTTCAATGTATATGACTCCATCTCATCAACTCTGTTCAGCTCCCAAATCCCTGCTAAAGAAAGGCTTTCCCACAGGATGATCCCACCTCCACTATGTTTCACATGTGTTTACTTGTAGGCAAAAAAAAAAAAAAAAAAAAAAAACATTTGATCTCATCTGACCAGAGCACCTTCTTCCACATATTTTCTCTGTCCTCTACATGAGTTGTTTCAAATTGATAACAAGACTAGTAAGAAGTTTTAAGTGACGTCAATCAATTTGCCTCTATTGTTTTCTATTTTCTGGATCCAAACACATGAATATTCAGGAAATCATTTGTAGTTTTTTATTTATTTATTTATTTTCTACAGTTGCTAAGGATATTTGGGTAATATTGGCTAATGATAGCCACCATGATTAATTATTTAGGAATGAGTCACACCCAACCTACCTGACCTGTGAAGCCATGAACTGCTAGAATAGACTGAGCAAGTTTTTGAGTTGTCATGCATCCTAAGAGAAATAATTGAATGAGTTAATATGCAGAGCCTCCTAAACAATGTCTTGTTTCCATGCGATTGCAGGAGACTATGGGTGCTCTGGTCGTTGAAATACTGAAACTAGTTTTCTCTTTCACGTATCTACATTGCACCATTGGCAGAATTAAACAGCGAGCCAGTGTTTGCCAGAGTGGGTTCAAAAAGATCTACTTGCACCATAAACTGAAGTCACATTGAAGTCACATTAAAGCCAGAAAAATCTAACATTTCTGTGTCTGGGAAGGCTGGAGAGGAGGAGAATAATTAAAAACATTCATGTCCCATGGCACCCATGGGACACAGTGGAAGATCAAGTGGCCCAGACTCTCATCTCTCTGCTGCGCCTCAAAGAAAGCCTAAAATAGGATGATAGACTTAGAGTCACCCCTAGAGGCCAACCTAAACAACAATGTGCCAAGGAGGAGAAATCTGAAGAAGCAAAAAATGAAAAGTGGGCGGAAGGGATCTTTCTTTTTCTCTACAAAACCAGATTGTCTGAAGGGTTGATGGTATCACTCGTCTCACACTTTGTCGCGCTCAGCTTTTGTATACATTCTCAGTTTGCAACCATATGCAGTGAGATAACATTTCTGAGGTTAACGTGTGATTTAGGTGTGGCAGA